ATTGCTTCAGAGGAAATCTGATGTCTTTAAATAAATTATTTTTGTATTTTATATGAATTTTCTTAATGTTATCAGGAGAAATGTTGGTCTCCTACAAGCTAGTTCATCCTACAATAAGCAGAAGTCCTAAATTATATTTTAAAGTGCTTTTTGGTCTATTGTTTTGATATTTTTTGTTAAGCATTCCAAAGATGTGTCTATTGTCTGCTGGATATTCTGTCCCTTTCTTCCATAGTTATGACTTTCCCCTAACCATTTTTATCTCTATCTTTATTTCTATTAAATTTTTCACTTTTCTTATTGTATCTTTTATGTCTCTGGATGTGCTGTGTCTTGTGTCCTTTATCACTTGTGTTTCAGATAATTCATTTTTATTTAATTTAGCAAGTCGTTTTACTTTTTCTATTCATTTCTTTTCTTCTTTTTTTTAAAAAAAATGAGACCACAGTCAGCATGCTTTTTTTTTTTAAGATTGACACCTGAGCTAACATCTGTTGCCAATCTTCTTCTTCTTTTCTTCTTCTTCTCCTCCCTAAAGCCCCCAGTACATAGTTATATATTCTAGTTGTGAGTACCTCTGGTTGTACTGTGCGGGACGCCGCCTCAGCATCGCCAGATGAGCGATGCGATATCTGCGCCTGGGATCTGAACCGGTGAAACCCTGAGCCGCCAAAGCAGAGCACGTGAACTTAACCACTTGGCCACATGGCCAGCCCCCTATTTATTTCTAATCACTACCAATTACTTCCTCGGATTGTCTAATCATCTCTATCATGAATTCCTTTATTCTACCTTTAAGTATATCTTCAGAGTTACAAATTCCTTGTTAAATTTATTTTTTCAATTAATAGTGAAAAGTTGGGTTACAGTATCCTCTGTATTGTACTGAGCTCTTACTGATGACTTTCCTTTATTTTCAGTGAAATTTCTTTTCTCTTTCATTTAGACCTCTTCTTAGAGAATACCTTTATAGATCTTGAAGACTTCTTATTACTCACATTAGAATGATTTGGATTTTTTTGTTCCAGCTAATGGCAGATGAATATCTCCTGGAGGGGCTATTGGAGGAGTAAGAATATTTCCCCAGTTTCTAAGCTCGTACGGAGAACTTCTCTGCTATATGGCCCGGCTGTGTAGCCTGGGAGGGCTCCTACTACAGTTCATGTTCTCGTTTCTTTTGCAACTGGCTGCTGTCACCAAGAGTGATGCCCTCACGCCCTCCTCCCTACCCCACCACCCCATCCATGCGTTATTTTTCCTTCACTCTTGCTCTTGGCAGTTTCCACTCAGGACAGGGCCCTCCATTTTTGAGAATGAATTTTGTTATAGATTTCTTTTCCACCTGTGACATCATTATGGATTCCATTGCCAGTTTTGATGAGTATGTAATTTATACGTAAATTGGGGGTTAGGGATTTTCTTTGTCTTATAACTTTGCTAAAGATGTAGTTTGCTGTTTTTTTCTCTTCTTTGTTGATATATATGGTTTTCAGGAGAAGTGGAACCTTTTAAATTAAGATGCTCCATATTCCTATTGGAACTGTAACTTCCACTGTCATTTTGAAAAAGAAAAGCAATAACAAACAATAACCATAGTGGAATAAAATACAGACAAAATAGTGTCAATAACACACTAAATATTAGACTTATGGGTAAATTCACTTTTCCTCCTTTTACTCCTTTATATTTCATGTCATCTTAATTTTAGCAATAGAGGAAAAGTCAAACTTACGCAATTAAGAAAAAAAACATTATTTCAATTTAAAAAGTGAGCATAATCATTGAATGTAAATTTTCCCAGCTTTTGAATGCTTGTGTTTCTGGGACATGTGGTGACTTAAAGGTTAATGGCCCAGGCATTTGGGGAAGGACAGTGTGACACCAAGTGGACACAGTCAATGTGAACCTGGCAGCACAAGCGGGGCATGGTAACATAGGAAACTGAGCAGTGCTAATGTAATACATTCCTTGAGCCTCCTGGGGTGAATGGCTCTCCCTGGTGGCAACTCCCACTGAACTAAGAAGCTTGATAAAGGTGGCCATTCCCCATTCTACGTTCATGGATCGTTTGAAGCACCTCTTCAAAGGCCTTGTTCATATTCACAAGTCTATTGATGTCTTCAGTTTTATATTGTCACATTTAAAGTATTCTGAAAACTGTCTAGCAAGCTCCAGTTTTGTGTGTCTCTAATTTTGCAACTTCAGAAATGAAACGTATTCATTACCCCTAAGAGTAACTAACCAACCACAAAGGCAAGTATAAATGATCTACATTCTTAAATTTTTATATTTGTATCATTTTCAGTGATATAATTTGAAATTTGCAGCAATTATGTTTATGAATTCCTAAAAAAATCATATTCACTTAACCAATTATAGATGCATAGTGGTAACTCTTAACCTGGTTTTTCTTCTTTTTTTTTTTATCTTACTAGGCATTGGCATTATGAAGTTGAGTTTTATGGGCTTGGAATGGGTGCATAATTTTCCTTTTATACTCGTACATTTCATGGTACAATACTCCACAGTGCACCTCAACTTGCCACTTATAGTGTTGTTAAAACCTTTGAGATATGACAAAAATGTCCTCTTAGAAATCATAATGGAGAGCAAAAAGTTAAATTTGGAAATATCTGCCTGTGATATCAAAAAGGTAAGGTTGAACGATTCTATATTATCTCAAATTAATTACATTATAATCTTTCATTAATTGTCATAGCTAAATTGAAGATACTCAATCACTTCTTTTGTGCCTCTTATAGTTGTATCATAGTTTGTAAATTAACACATACAAGTAATTATATCTGATGAGATTACTGGTTTACACTTTCTCCTTTCTTTGTAAAATGATTCATATCTAATAATATGAAAAAACGTGTTGGAGAAAGCTGTTATTTTTTGCTATTCCTCAGGTGAAAAAGTCAATTCTTGAACTATACTGTTTGGTCACAACTGTACTTAAATTTCCTTGCCAGGAGAAACGATGTCTGCTTTTGAGTCTGAGTTTCTAGTTTTAACTGGCAGGAGACACAATCGGTTCTCCCAGAGTGGTCCAGTGCCACCCTGATCTTAGTGAGTCTGCTGTCTCCTTGTCTGCTCTTTGCAGCCACACCCCACGTTCCCTTGATTCCGTGGGGACACTGCCACAGGCCTCCCAACATCTGTCTTTCTCAGTCCAGGTAAAACTTTTGCCAACCCTCTTCTGGGCACTGAGAAAGTCATACGAAATCTTCCCACGGTCAATCAATCCCAAAATATGTACGCATAATCCAGTTCATTGCTTTTTAGATGTGCCTGCATAAGAGGGGAAATGCTCTAATTGCTACCCAGCCTGGGAGATTAACTGTTGCCTAGAGAAATTTAGCATAGGAGAAGAGGAAATGTCTAACAAAGTGAACAGAAACGCTGCCTCACGTGGAGGCTCCCAGATGCTGCAGACAGGGAGTTGATAGTGAGATCCACAGGAGAACCGCTGCTCAGTTACCAAAGCGGTCCCTTGAGAGAGTGTTGGACAATTTGGACAGATTTGAAAAAGCAGGACCAGCAAGGACGTCATAGGATGTCACAGGCATCGTTCTGTTAAGGTGGGCTGGTCAGTCAGTAAAGATTTATCCACCATCCTTGACAGAACAGTCAATGGGCGTGGTGCTGGCCGTGGTGCTGAATGCGGTGCTGAAAGTGTTGCTGGCCACGGTGCTGAAAGTAGTGCTGGTCGCGGATGCCCACGGCGCTAAACGTCCTCAGGGAACATGATGAACGTGGTCAAGCTACATAGAGTTTGCGGTGTTGCCAGTAACACCAATAACTGGAGAGATAACTACAAAAGTATAAATGGAAGGAAACGCTCCCTGTGAAGCATAGAAGAAGTATGTCAGCCGTGAACTTGGTGTTGTCCAGGGCTTCCCAGGGAAGTGAGGTTAAAGTGACAATGTTAAGGATGATATCATCATTTCACGTGGGAAGCCAGGAAAGGTGCATGATATGAGGAAAGAGGCTCATGCAATTTACAGGATTTTATCTCTAGGAATAAAAGAAAAGAGAAAGGGACAAGCGCAAAAAGACACAAGGAGTTTGCAACAGGCTAACTCCAGGCCAGGTTAGATGTTGGACTCATTGGAGGGTGGGGAGTACCTCTTTGTGAAATTCATGTAGAGTTATAATGGGCCCAGGCTAACTGATTTCATATTCTTGACTATAGTCTCTCTGGACAAAATTTAGAAAAATGTGTCAGGAAAATAAATGTAGGGTCCCAGAGAATGGTGAATGTGCTTGGCTCTTTGACCGTGACTGAACAATGCAGATTTAACAGAGCAGAGAGCCCAAGTGAAAAGATGCAGGCGATGCTGGAGCAGAGGGACTGATGAAGAGAAGACCCGCTGGGAAACAGACTCCTGAGCCCCAAAAGGAACCAGTGGCAGGACGGAGCCAGGTCACTGGTCAGAAACTGCAATACTGATGCCTTCAGAATTAAGACCTCCTGCCTATTTCTATTGAAATACTGTGCACCTGTTAAAAAGGATGACTGATTCCATCACTGACATGGAGAGATCACTGCCAAATATCATTGGGAGAAAAATAACCAGTATTCAAAGAAGCATAGACATAAATCAGAAAGTGTGTTCATGCCCTTGAAGGTTGGTGGGTATTTTACTTCCACATTACAGAATTCTATGTTGCTTACATTTTTATATAGTTATAAGAAATATGCAGAAAAGTTTTAAAGCTATTTTTATTTGGGAGGAAAATAACAAAGAATAGAGCATTAGCTAAGACAAAGTTCCAGAAATGTCTGTTGTTCCTTATGGCCCCAGGCAGAGGTGATTGGGTCTAGAGTGAGAATTATCTTAAGCAGAGAGATCATAAATACCTAGAGAAAATGGAAAATGAAATGAAGGTGATGAGATTCTTTCATTTATACTGACCAATAGTAATAAACCTTTACTTTATAGTCAAACCGTAGAGTAAGAAAGAAATTTTGACCTATGTAAATTCATTGAGAGATGACTTAAACGGCCATGAATAACCAGTCACTGGTGACAGAATTCATTCTGCGAGGCTTCTCAGAAGAGCCACAGCTCCAGAGTCTCTTCCTCATCCTCTTTCTCTGCCTCTACACTGTGGCGCTTTGTGGCAATTCCCTCATCGTCGCAGCCATTACCTTCAACTCTGGGCTCCATACCCCCATGTACTTCTTCCTGGTCAACTTGGCTGTGTTGGATGTTATCTGTGCAAGCACTGTGGTGCCCAAGCTACTCGAGATTCTGGTGGCAGAGAAGAGAAACATTTCTTATGGGGGCTGCATGGCCCAGATGTTCTTCCTGTCATGGTCAGTAGCCGCTGAGGTGCTGCTCTTCACAGCCATGGCCTATGACCGCTATGTGGCCATCTGCCAGCCATTGCACTATGGCTCCATGATGAACCCCAGGGTGTGTGCGGTGCTGGCTGGAGCTGTGTGGGGCATGAGTGTGCTCGGTGCTGGAGTCAATGCCTGCCTGATGCTACAGTTGTCCTTCTGTGGGCCCAACGTGGTTGATCACTTCTTCTGTGAGATTCCCCCTTTGCTGCTGCTCTCTTGTTCCTCCACATATGTTAATGACATCATGGCAATTGTGGCTGACATATTCTTTGCGGTGTTGAATTTCCTGCTCACCATGGTGTCCTATGGCTTCATCATCTCCACCATCCTGAAGATTCGCACGGCTGAGGGGAAACGGCGAGCCTTCTCCACCTGCTCCTCCCACCTCATTGTGGTGACCATGTACTACTCCACCATCGTCTACACCTACCTGAGCCCTGGCTCCGGCTACTCCCCGGGGATGGGCAAGGTTATGGCTGTGCTTTATGCCACTGTGAGCCCAGCTTTGAACCCTCTCATCTACACCCTGAGGAACAAGGATGTCAAAGGGGCCCTCAAGAAAGTCTTGATGCTCATAGTGGAAAAATTGTAAATTGACAGTCCCTAAAGTTTGTGTTCTTTGTTGCTCCCTGACCCCTGACTCTTCTGAGATGTGTCGCAATTGTTTTAAATATCCTCTTCCCATGGAGGCTACCACTGACACTCTCAATACAGCTTTGTTGAGAAAACATTCCTCCACTGATTTCCCATAGAATCTTGATAAGACATGGTTTTAGCCTCCTTTTACTAAAAGTTTGGGGTTCCTGGAATATAAGACGTAGTCACAAAAAACAAGTGCATTGTTTAACCTCTCAGATCCCTTGGACTGCACATCAGAACAGAGTCTCTACCTACATCCTGTTAACATGCAGTGAGAGCCAGTTCAATTCCATCCAAAGCGTTCCTCTAAAGCAGTGCAAATTTCTGCTTAGACCAAATGGATCTTGGCCCCAAATTGCAGAGGAAGTCTCTCCTGAGGTGGCTAACTTTATGTGTCAACTTGCCTGGGGTAATGGATGCCCAGATATCTGGTAAAACATAATTTCTTGATGTGTCTGTGAAGGTGTCTCTAGAAGAGATTAACAACTGAATGGGTGAGCAGGGTAAAGAAGACCAACCTTTCCAATGGAGGTGGGCGTCATCTAATCCACTGAGGTAAAGAAGTCCACCTTCATCAACGGGGGTCTTTACTCTCAGTTGAAAGTAAGAAGGTCAACCTTACCAGAGTGGGTGGACATCATCTAATTCACTGAGAGCCTGAATAGAACAAAAAGGTGGAGGAAGGGCAAAGTTACACTTTGGCTTTCAGACTCAGGCTAATACTCAAACTGTCACGCACAGATCACAGGTTTGGGGACTTGGACTGAATTACACCACCAGGTCTCTTCATTTTCCAGTTTGCAGATGGCAGATTATGGGACTTTTCAGCCTCCATAACTGCGTCAGCTTGTTCTAGTAATAAATCTCCATATGCATATATATATGCATATCATATTGTGTAATTTTATACATATATGTATATATATATGTAATGACACATATGCATATATGTATACATGTGTACATTATATCATATATATGTATATATATTAACTGTCACAAGGACATCTGTGTGTGTATCTCCCATTGTTTCTGTTTCTCTGGAGATTCCTAAGACATCTCTCTTCTCATCCAACGACTGCCTTGGAATCCCTGATCCAGGGGTGTGATGGGAACCTCATGACCCGAGACAAGACCCCTCTTCGAGTCTGTGTACACATTATTCCTTCTGCATGGAACGCTCTTTACCTGGTTAACTCACACTTATTATACGTGCCAGCTGCGTGTTAAATCCTAAGTAATTCTTCGTTCACCAGACTGAATTGAGTCCCTCTGTTATCTGCTCTCCTAGTGCCTTCTTATTTGCCTCAGAGCTAATCACAGTTGATTATTTGAGCAACATCTCCCATGCTGGGGTTCATGATGGGAGCAGCTGTAGATTTTGATTACCATTGTATCCTCAGCGACAGAACAGGACCCAGAACATAATAGGTGATGAATAAATGAAAAACAATCCACAGTATCATACCACTTCTCATATCTGTTCAAGATGAAGATACATATCCTCTACTAGTCAACAATTTCATTGCTAGGTGTTCTTGCATAGGTCCACAAGGTTCAAAGTTTTTTGTTGCATCTCTTGGCGCAGTAGAAAAAGTGGAAACTACCTAACTGCTCGTCGGTAGGAAAATGAATAAGTAAGCCATAGATTCATCACACGTGGATTACCATGTTGGATTTGCACATGTCAGTGTGCACAGACAACAAAACCATAATGTCGTGTAAGAAAAGTAAGTTGAAAATGGATGTGCTTAGGTGATGAGCATTGTCATTCTTACACAAACACTGAAATAATGTCATATTGTTTATTGTAATAAATGGAAGCAAACACATGTGAGAATGATGCACACAGTCTTCAGAGTGGTGGTTTCTCTGTGGATTCGGGGAGGGAAAAGAAATTAAAAGTGGAATTGAGTTGTATCTGTACAGTATTATTTCTTACACAGAGATATACAGCAAATAACGGCAAGATGTCAGTAGCTAGTTACATGCATATGTTTGAAGTTTCACATGATTAAAAACTGCTAAAAATAAACAAGGAATCACCTGGAATGCTCGCCAACACCAAATGAATCAGAGTCTGCATTTTAACAGGCTCCCTGGGTGAGTCTTGTGTAAACTGAAGCTTGAGAACCCTGATCCGGAGTAAAAGGAAGACTTTCCTCCTCTCCCACTGCACACCCCCTCAGGGGTCTGGCCTGAGTTCTCCTTCAAGTCAGAGAAAGCTGTAGGTTCCCGCAACTAAATTCCTCTCTTTAGCAGATAGTTTTGGATTTTTGCTCAACAGAATAGAATGTGCAGATCCTGTTTAGAAAAGTCAGCATCATGATCTGAGTTTTTAGAGGTACACTTTTCAGTAGGTAGCTAAGCTGCTTAGGGAAGCAGGCCACATTGTGTTCCCCCAAATCACCCCATTTACTCTCAGTGGTCTGTAGGCAGAGTGCATTTCTCACACCCATGGGTCATCTCACCACTGTGTGGTTTAGATGTGGACAGTTTCCATTGGCTCCATGAAAGTTATCTTCTCACTACTGTGGGAGTGACATCACACAGCACGTGTGTCCCCCTGGGATAGGGTCCTGAACTCATCATTGAAAATATGCTTAAGCTGTGGGAAGGTTGTAGAGAACCACAGCCTGCTTCAGATGTAACGCAATCCTTGAAAGCTGAAAACAATATTGCTGGGGAAAGATTTCTTCTAAACGCTATCAAAATATTAATCACAGGTATGTTTCCCTCTATCCAGCCAGCTGTCTGAGATTCTATCATTCTTGCCTTGCCTGACTCCAAAAAGGATTTGAACAGGCTAAAATAGGTCACGTGGCATCAGTAGTTTGTGAGTCAGCAGCATCGAGATGGTTTCAGTAGATTGGTCCCCCGGGCCACTTTGGCCGCTTAGAATTCATCTCTCAATTTTGCATGTTCTTGGTAATATTTCCAAATTATAATTAATTTTCCACATAAAGTTATGAAGATATCTAATTGAATGTGTCACCTGAATGGTTTAGGACAAGCAAGTAAAGAATGTGATTACTATTAGCCCTCAATTATTTTTTCCAATTATTCCTTTATGTAAGAGTGTGTATGTATTTGTTATCATTGCAAAATGTCACATAAAGAGAGTAAAAACAATTCAACCAGATCCTTCTTCCTCCTTGGATCTGCCCTCCTCCCCTCATACACATACCTCATTTCTATCCCCAGATTAATCCCTCTTAATTGTTTCCTTTTTATATTCTTTCAAAAGATTTTTTTCTGCATTCTCAAATAAATATTGGATATCTGCTTGTAGCAACATTTATAGATTGTGACAATTTTTTATTTGTAATGTAATTTTATTTACCTAGGTATTTATCGATGGAGATTTAGATTATTTCATTTTTCTGTTATAAAAATGCTACACTGAATATTCTTATAAATATGTACGCACTCTGGGTATTTATGCAGAAAAACAGTCCAGGAAGTGGGATTGATGGTGAAAGGATATTTATAAAAGCTGTCAAGTCCCTCCATAAAAACAAAATGCAAGCAATGTAGAAATGTATTGATTTCCCCATGCCTTCGCGAAAATTTCCAATCTAAAAGTGACATTTTTATTTCATTGTTGATGTAAATTACACTTCCCTGAATGTTAGTGAATTTTGCTCTCTTTTTAGGAATTCATCCATCATTCGTCTTCTATGACATATGTCTGTCCATCTTTATGATTTACAGAGACTATATATTCAGGGGAGACCTGAACGGCTATATGTGAGATGTGTGACAGAGTTAGTTGGAAAACAAAGGCTACTCTATACAATGCTGAAATCACTTAAAATAACCTTAAAAGCAATGAACAAATCAGCAAATCTGTTAATTTCCTTCCAACAAAAGTCTAACACACTTAAAGAAATAATACAAAAGCATGCAATGACAAACATAAAATCACCATAAAATCAAAATGGGTGTCTAGCATCCATTCAAGATTTATTGGACAAGTGAAGGAAGCGGGAAAAAGTTTAACATAGCCAGGAGAAAATCAGTCAACAGAAACAGACTCAGAAATGATCCAGATGATGGAATTAGTGAACAATGACATTTAAAAAGCTGTTGTAAATATGTTCCATATGCTAAAGAAAAACATGAACATAATTGAAGATAAAAATTAAAGATTTAATAAACAAATAAATAGAACTTCTAGAGATGAAAAATATTATATCTGAAATGGAAAGTTCACTGATGGGAGTAACAACAGATTGGAAGCTGTGGAAGAAAAGATTAGTGAATTTGAAGAACTTAGCAATAGACTCTATCTAAAATTAGGCTAAAGTATTAGACTGAAAAATGAACATCTAGGGTGAACTCTGAGAGACTATTAAGCAATCTAACATACATGTAATTGGTTTCTCAGAAAGGGAGGGGTAGAAACAAAAAAAATTTGATTAAAAAATTCATAAATTTTCTAGATACACGAGTCTCAACCACTCCAAGCACCATAAACACACATAAAAACCACAACAAGATTCATCATAATGAAATTTTTGACAATGAATCATAACAGAAGTTGAAGGTGGGGAAATATTTACACGTAAAGGAACTAAGATAAAAATTATAGCATTTTCTTGACAGACTTACATAAGCCAGAAGGCATTGAAATGATATCTTTAAAATGCTGAAAGAAAAAATGTCAACCTGGAGTCCTATATCCAGCTGCACTGCGGTCATGTAAGAGAGGGTCCCTATTCTTAGGACATATGCACAGAAGCATCTGGGGCAAGTAAAGGGCTATAGGGTATACAACAAAGCCTTAAATGATTCAGAAGAAAGTGACTCGCGTGTGTGTGTGTTTTCTATCAAATGTTTAAGGAAGCAGCAACACCAATTCTACAAAACATCTTCCAGGAGAAAGAAAAGACTGGCACATTCCTGACATTTGAAAAGGCTAGCATTACCCTGATTCTCAAAAGAGACAAC